CTCTTTTCTAAGCAAGAAGTGGATTTTTCCTCTAGCCTGTGGCCGTGCCAACAAGTGCACTGCTGCTCCTACGGGCTGCCTTCCTGGTGGTCCCCTCTTAATTTCTCTGGAAGACCTTGGGTTGGCCCCTGCAGCGTGTCTCCCTGCCAGCCTGCTGGAGCACAGGGAGAAAAGTCCTTCATGTAACATAAAGCCCATGATGGTTTTGCTGCAGAGGCAAAAGAGAGGAAGGATTTCTTGACTTGCTCATGGGGAGAAGGCCACTAGCTAATCAGCAGCCAGACTATAACTGACTCGTCTTGGCATCCAAAGGCAAGCTTTAAAAGGCAGTGAAAGCCGGAAGGAGTGACTCATTCCTCTTGGATGTTCTTGCATCCCGCTGGCACACGCTAGGTCGGGTCATTCAAACAGTCCCCTCTCCCGGCCCAGGAGCACTGAGAGGCACCGCTGCTGGTGGGAGCAAACGCTCGGCATGCCCAGCGCACCGTGGCGAGCCCTTCGCTTTGCAGCAGCAGCAAGCAACGTGCCCAGGAGGGAGAGCCCGGCACCTCCGGTCAAGTCCTTTGCATGAGACAAAAATCCTGCGCGCTGTTGCTGCCCGGGGTCATCTCACACAGGCCATGCCAACACCCCAGGGAAAACAAGCAGCCGTCCGCACTTGGGTATTTCCGTGGCCCCCAAAAGCAGTCATTCTCCATTATCAGCTGGGAGATTTCAGCAATCTTCGAAAAGCAATAGTCATCTGATTCAAGCCATGGTGGTGGGCTCTTCTGCTTTCTGCTTTTCCCTTTTTGAACGCAAACCAAATGCTTACTCAGGAGGTTGTGCAACGGTGCCGGAGAAGCGTACAGTCCTGCCCGCTGTACCGCGTCTTGCACCGACGGCACGCTCGTGCTCGCGGCGTGGAAGGTGGGTGAGCTGGGTCACCCCTGAGCGGTCAGCGCAGAAATGCCGCCAAGGGAAGCGATGAGTGCAAAAATAAAAGGTCTTTTGTGCCGCTGGAAAAAAATAAAGCGACAGTGCAGGAAAGGAAGCTGCCAGCGTTTTCTGTGAGCCGCGGGCGGAGAATTGGTGTGAATTGAGTGTTTTGTGCAGCTCCGGTGAACAGGTCCTTGTTTTTCCCCCTGCAGGTCTTAACGAAACGGCGCTGTTCAGCTGCGAGGCTCACAACAGTAAAGGGCTGACCGCGTCCAACCCGGGGCAGGTCAACGTGAAAGGTAAGCGGCAACTTGATGCTTGCTTTACCTGTTGCCTACACGTGTCCAAGCAGGAGCTGTCCTCATCTCCACCCTTCCCAGCAGTCATTCTGCATGAGCTGAAGGAGATGTTTTTAGGACTCCCGTACTTATTTTTCCTCATTTTAAACCTGTATTTAAAATCAAGTGGGACTCATGTAGTAGCACGGTCACCTGGTGCGGTTCTGTCATCCCGGTATTGCTGCTGTGGGAGGAAGCACCAAAAAGCACATTTGAAAGGAGAACTGTCAGCCCCGGAGCAGGTTTCGGAAGGGCTGTATCACTCTTTTCCTTCCTTCACAACCAGGGCGGTGCTCGCAATTTTCCATAGGAAACGGTGGAAATTCTCGACATTCCTGACTGGAGCCACTCCGGCAATGTGAGGAAGGTGTTCCCCAAAATATGTCGTTGCCTCTAAGCAGCCCAGAGAGCTCACAAATATAGAACGTGATGAAAATAGTCCCGCAAATGACTTTTTTCTGCTTCCCTGCCCAGTGGTCTGAAGCATCCGCGGTACGCTGATAGAGGATGCCACCGCAGCTGCAGCCGGGGCGGTACTTGGGGTTCTTGCACGGTCGCTCTGAGCCCCGGGAGCTGCCTGCGGGAAGCCGGACGTGCCACGTTTGTGCTTAGGCCTCCAGCTGACTGCCCTTGGCTTTTCCCTGCAGGAATACCATCTGCACCCACCAGCCTGCATGTCCTCAACCGAACAGCCCACAGTATCGTGATATCTTGGGTGCCGGGCTTTGATGCATTCTCTGCCTTGAACAGCTGCAGTGTCCAGGTAAGCATCCATAACCCCCCTTTTTTCCCTGCAGCCTCCCCTCACACGGATGCTCTGAGGCAGGTGAAAATCCGTGTCGTCTGGCATGAGCCGCGTGGATTCGACCAGACTTGGTTTGAGTAAATTGAGCTGGACTTTCCCAGCGGCTTTGAAAGGGGAAGCGTCCCACCCGTACCGCCCTGCAGTCTGGGTGGCTGGGGAATTTGTGTGGTGTGATGTTGAGGAGCCCGAGTTGAGCAGCGAGCAGAGTTCCCAGGCTCTGGAGCAGCCGGAGCACCGCCGAGGTGGCCAGGAGGCTTGCAAGGAGCTGCTGGAGGCTAGCTTGGCGGTGTCCGCTCACAAAGAGCGGCTTTGCTCTGCCCGCTGCGAGGGGGGAAGGTCGGTGGAAGGGATCCCGCAGAGAAGCCGACGCGGGGAGCATGAAGCGGGCTTTTATCCCGGGAGTGGTGTGGTTGAGTTGGGGCAGAAACAAGGGGCGATGGGAACAGGCGAGTCGCCTGCTTGGAAGAGCCCATCTGGGCTCCTGCCTCTGAAGCGTGCGGGAGTGAGCTGCGAGAATCTCTCCCCTCAGGTGAGACAGTCAGGTTGTCGTGTCTCTTCATGGAGAAATGCTCCAAGTAGCTCTTTGGGAGACTTTGCAAGCCTTGAGTTGCTGCAGGCGCATGCCTGTCCCTACTTTTACCTCCTAGTCAAACACTTCCCAACCAAGCAGCCTTCCCACTGGGGTTTGGAGGTGGAGGTTTCTCTCGACTCCCTGCTCCTTGCAAGCACTGGGAAGGAGCTGAGGGGTTGCCTATCTCCTGGGCAAGTCAGGGAATGCCGTCTCCGTGGGTACAGCCCTGCAAGTAGTTTCCACCTGCTCTGTCTGTTTAATGTTGCTGGGTTTCACAGTTCAAACCCATCGCTTGCTCTCTTGTGGATATGTTTTTTATACTGGCTAATCTATACTCCGGCTGAGATAATGCGTGGAGAAAGGCGATGTTTGAAGCCAGGTAAAAGTGAAAGGAGTTACAGGGAGGAAAGGTACGAGAGCTAATATTAGCACCGCGTCCACTGCTGCCTTCCAGCTGGAGCTTGGGAAGTGGGGTGGAGAGCCAAGGAATTTCCTATGACTTAACGTTCACGGACTGTCATTAGGAAATAGCCCTTCAACTTGGAAAACAAGACGTGATTTCTGGCAAAAACACAGCTGTGACTAAGCCTTTTTGCTCCTGTCCCCTTTGATAATCCCCTCGCTTGGGTAGCGTGGCCCACCGACCAAGTGACTCATTTCTGAGCACGCTGGTGCTTAAAAGGCAAGCTGTTGCTGTCACACCTGCCAAGTTCAAAGTGTTTAAGTGTTTTTTTTTAAAAACACATCAATTTGATGGACTCTCTCCAGAAGACAAGTTGAGGATCGAGACAGCTGAGCTGGGCTCTATGCTCAGGAGAACAGCCAGTCCCAGCGGTGCTTTCAGGAGCGGCTTGCACGTTCGTCTGATGGCTGCTCACCTCCCTCAAAGCATCTAGCGACAGCTTGGGGACCTTCTCAGCTCTCTGTGAGGCTGAAGGCTATTCTCTTTCATTTTCGTTGGAAAATACTGCTGGTGTTGATGCTGAGACCGTCCTGAGCATCCTGGGCTACCCAGGGGGGTACTCTGTCGCTTAAGCAGAAGGGCGGGTCGTCTGCCACCCCAAAACCATGCATGGAGTCTTTTGAGAGGACTGTATGACTTTCTGCTTGTGGTTCACGCTGAAACGCGTCCTGTGGATTGTCTTCCGAGTTAACTGTCTCGTTCGTACTGGCGGCCCTCGTTCTTGCTCTTCCCTCTTTCCTTCCACCGTCCCGGCCTGGGCCACTCCCGCGGTGCTTCCCATGAAATGCACTTTCCAGAGAGCTGCAGGGGCTGTGCGGGTGCTCAATAGCCAGCCCTTTGGGGAGAGAGCAATTTCTCTTTGTGTAAAAAGCGTGGCTTGTTTTTAGTACATTGAATTCATCCACGCTGCTAAATGTAATGCTGGAGCCTGACGAGGTCTGTGATTAGTCCTGCAACATCTGATGGCGATGAGTCCTGTGGTCTAATGATGTGTTGCACGAGAAAGGACTTTTCCTTTGTTTGTTTGAAACTCGCTGCCTGGTAATGTTATTGGATGCTCCTTTTGCTCCATGCCACGAGAATGAGCAAATCATCCCTCCCTCCTCCTTTCCGCAGCAATGGCAATTTCACACATCTCTGCCATGTCCCCGCTGCAGCTCTTTCTTCTCCGTGTGTGTTGGAGCCCTCGCCCTGGGCCCCGTGAACGGCCTGCCGTCAGCTTTCCGCTCGGCAGAGACCAGCCAGCATGCAGGAACAAGGCCCTGCCGGTATTTGGATGGGAGGCAGGGCTCGGGATCCTGTTTACAGATGTAAAATTCCTGCCACACGTCTCACCCTGCAGGTTGTTGCTGACTAATCCCTGTTTGTGAACTGATTTTTCAATTAAGGTCAAGGAAGCTGTTCCACGAAGCAATGTCTCACTTCTGCTTTTCAACACCTCGGTGCCTCCCCATGTGTATCACATCCAGCAGCTGGGGCCCATGGCGGACTATAACATCCGCGTTTCCTGCAGGAATGAAATTGGCTGGTCGGCGTTTAGCCCCTGGATAACCACCAGCACCACCGAAGGAGGTAGGAAATGAGTACTGAAGACTGAGGAGGGTTTCCCTGCCTTGATTGCGCAGCCGTGCTTTGTGCAGGACTCTCTGGATGAGATGCTGGTCCGGAGTCATGGTTGCTTATGGGTGGGACATCTCGACTCTGTTGATTGGGGAAAGGAAATTTACCCACGGGTGGTCACCTGCTGGAAATATTAAAGGCTGTAGGAAATACTGTGTGCTTTCTGGTTGAGCTACAGCTCATTTTCCATCAGCCTACCGTGTCCCTGCACCCATCCACCCAGCTCCCCTCACCTTTTTTCTCTTTGATTCCTGCAGCTCCAACCACCCCGCCACTGAACGTCACGGTGTCATTCAATGAATCCAGCTCGTCCCTGGAGATCCGATGGATGAAGCCGCCCCTGGGGAGGATCCACGGGGAACTGCAGGGCTATCACATCTGGTACAGGTGGCAGGACTCCAAGGGGTTGGTAAGTCACTGGGGAAACAGGGAAGAATGGCTAAAGCCTAGGAAAAATCCTGGCAGGCTTCAAGCAGGGATGTCCAGTTTGGTCTTGGTGCTTCCATACAGAATCATAGAATCATCGAATCGTTTAGGTTGGAAAAGCCCTTTAAGATCATCCAGTCCAACCATTAACCTACACTACCAAGTCCACTACTAAACCAATTCAGGGTACAGTAATAATTAATTTCATGTTTCCTGACTTGGTGGCTGGATTATTCTTTAATGAAAGTAAAAACTAGGAATCGTTAAGGTTGGAAAGGATCTCTAAGATCATCAGTCCAACCATCAACCCAACACCCCCATGCCCACTAAACCATGTCCCAAAGTGCCACCTCTGCCCGTTTTTTGAACCCCTCCAGGGATGGTGACTCCCCCACCTCTCTGGGCAGCCTGTTCCAATGCTTGAATATATTCTTTCTGAGCTTATTTGTCTGCTGCCTTGTGCTTTCATCTGGGCTTTTTTGATACAAGTGGTCTCTCTCTCGTGTGTTTATGTAACTCACAGTAATGCCCTAAGTCAGTAATATTGGGAAGAAGCAGTTCTGCTTGAAGGAGACAAGAGGTTTGCTACTGCAGCTCTTATTCTCTAAAATAGAAGCGAGATACTCTTCCCGGTGTTGACAGTCTTTGCTATGGCCTTTGGAGTGGCAGTCAAGGTTTGGCACTTTCAGCAATGGAGTCAGTTGTAAGGTGTTTGGAAGAATTTCTTCCCTGGGTTTTGAGTCGTTCCTTACTCAGATGGGATTTATTCCGTGCATTAACTCGTCTGCAAACCCATGGCACAGAGTTTCATAGCTCCAGGAACATTTTGGGGCCGGGGGCCTGTCCATGAGCCTATGAAGTCATCTGGCACAACCTTGCTTATCTTTCCCAGGATTTGGGAAGTAGCCTTCAGGAATTTGCTAGGGCGAGGTTGGCCTGACCTCTTGGGCAGGCCTGGCTCATCTCAGCTACTGGGCCAAAGAGCATCCCCTCCAGGCTCTGCCAGTGGTCGAGGAGCCTCGGGATAATTGCGCAGATGTATCCAGCTGTCGCCTCTGCCCTGTGGTTTTGCCTTCCTCTGTCCCGGGCTGAAAGCACAGAGAGGCACCGAGGGCCTGAACCCGGTGTGGAAAAAGTGACTCACACCCTATTTTTTGTAGGATGCTGCATTTTCTGTTCTCCTTTTGCGCGTCTGAAAAAGAGCATGTATAGATCCAGACCAAATGAAGTCAGGGAAACAATAGTATGGTCTTGTGACTAGCACGGAAAAAAAAAAAATGCTGACATATTTGTCATCTCTCAAGCGGAAAGCAAAAAACAGGACTTGCCCTTTAAGCCCTGGGAGACTATATTTTGTTGTTGTTGTTGTTGTTTTTTATAAATTTCCCCAGTCAAATGCTTATGGGGTGAAATTTCTGCTTGGGTTCCTGGTCAGTAACTGTTCTCATTAACGCTGGCTTTCAGGAGGCTCAAAAAACCCCTCAAGTGGGGAGCGAGTTGAGGTGGGAGGTCGCTGTGCGAGGGACCTCAGCTCTTTGGGGACCGAAGGAACCAGTTGTGTTTGCTGCTGATGTGTTTCATCAGCCTCCAGGTTTTATAGAAGGCAAAACGCGTCAGAGGCAGCCGAGGGCAGGCTTGATTGGGGAATTTTTATGAGGGCTGTCGCAGAATCGAGAGGCACGGGAACGGCTTGAGCTTGCGCCGTAACCTTTCTGCAGAGCACCGTGGGCTGGTGCGGTGCCCGGTTCTCCCACGCGCCCCCGAGGATCTCCCGAGCCGACGGACAGGCAGCCTGAAGCACAAGAGCAGCGTGCTTGCTGTCGACTGGAGCTCTGACTTCTCAGAAAGAAAGTCTCTGAGTTTTGGCCCTGGACGGGCTAAATATGAAAAGTCCCAAAATAACCATTGGTTTAACAACCCCACCACGATAAAGGCGTATTTCTGTGTCAGCAGGGCCACCTGCAGGCCTCTTCTTCTCCACAACGAGCTTAAAAACTGTTTGAAAAACTTCAAAAAGTTGGTTTATTTTATTCTTAAACCAGCAGTTCTTGTTTGAGCCAAGGCTGACGGAACTGGGACGTGAAGAAATTCCTCAACTACCGCAACGCTCATAAAAAGCCATTAACTTTGGCAGTTCTGTCCTGCCAGAACGGCTGTCTGCTTTGCCAATGCGCTCATGCTCTCCACGCTCTGTTTGATATCAGCTGGGCTCTGTCCTCAGATGACACAGCAGAGCCGCCTGCGATACGAAAGGATCCGGGTGCGTTTTTGGGCTGGCGGGC